ATTAAATATTGATCCTGCGGGCCTGAGGTGGACTCCATCACACAAAAGGAAACACCTCTGCAAATTAGTTTGGTGACATCCATACCCTTAGACGATATAAAGGAAACCCAGATTATTTGCTTCGCTTATTTTCTTAATGTTTTTCCCCTCAATTAGAGAAATGCATCTGCTACGAACCACACTCGCCTTTCGGACACCCAGCACTCGCTTCCCCCGGAGCCCACCCCGCTGGGCACCGTGGCGGGGGCCTGGGGGGCCGTGGGCAGGTGTGGGGCTGTTTGCAGGGGGTGGGGGGCTGCAGGCCTCAGCACGGGTGGAGGGAAGAAGACACAGCACCGTGAAGCCCGAGGTGCCCTTTCGTGTCCCCTTCTGTGGGTGTCCCCCCCGTGACACAGCTGAACTCTGCCCGTCCCATGGGAGAGCTGGGGCTCACCCGCCGCCCTCACTCAGCCTGGTGCCTTGTGGCTGCACGTGGAGAAACAAAAGAAGGCAAGAAATATCTAAATTTAAAGTGCTGGAAAACCCAACCTTTTATTTACTACATTTTTGTGACTACATAAACGCTGAAACATTGTAACGCTGAAACATTGTAACACTGAAAAGCATGATGACATCATCACTTGCTTTTTTTTTCTTTTTTTTCTTTTTCTTTTTTTTTTTTTTTGCTTAGCAAACACAGCAGATGATATTGCACGGCATAAAGTGAGAACAGTAGCAAAGCTTAAAAAAAGTAACTTAAGGAAATCTTAACGCAGTACAGGAGATACTCATAACCAAACGAGAATAATGCCTAGCGCATTACACTTGTCGCTACACACAAAAATACAGAAGAAGAAGCGCTTGACTAAGAGAGAGATTGAGGAAATATTAGCAATCAACCGTAATTAGGTACAATAATCACTTAGTCTGAAATGCAGATGCAACGCATAAACTACTACTGCTTCCTAATGGGCAAACTAAAAATGACAGCAAAGTTGTCTTTTATCAAAATCTTCTCTTAGTTTTCCTTTTTTTTTTTTTTTTCCTTTTTTTTTTTTTTTTTTTTTTTGGTTTTGTTTCATTGCTCTGGAAGAACTCCCTCTTGCTCTTGGAAGATTTCCTACCTCTACGGATGTGGGACCTGTGATTGTCTCTGGCGCCCTCTTTGCGCGGTGGCGGAGGAGGCGGCGCGGAGCCGGGGGGGCCGGGGGGGCCGGGGGGGGCCGAGGCTCCGGCTCGGCTGGGACTGGACTGCGGGCAGGGGCTTATGGAGACGGCTACCAAAGCAAGGAAAAGGCAATGCTGTAAGGTTTATTTGCGCGTAACACTGTCGTTCGGATCAGGCTGCAAAACTAACGCGGTTCCACAGTGGGGATGCAAGAAACGCAGAACAGACCGTGAAAACTCAAACTATGGGAACAGGAAAAGAAACCGTGTCTTCCTCAGTACAGTTCTGTCCAGTGCTCGATGGCTCATGTTGGATTCGTAGACTAATACTTTGTCTCCCCCCTCCACGTGAAGCGTAACTCATTGCACGGCATTAGTTTATGTATTAAAAGCAGACATTTAGCCAACGCTTACCAACAGACCATTAAATGATCCTGCATTTCAGAGCGTCTTTATTGCCCCGTTTCAATACTTGAAGTATAAAAATGTACCTAGAAAGTGTAACTTCTGACCAAAAGCTCAAACCCTGCCCTTGTCCTTCCCTCCCTCAATCCCTCCGCTATCCCCCCAAAGGAAAACAAGGTACACCTGGAGCTCAGCTACTGGGCGGGGAAAGGAAATATTTACAGCCATCACAAACCATGTCAGTACACAACATTTAGTTGAAACAGAATCTATTCTTTATGTAAAATAAAATACAGGTGAGTGGCATCCTATTTTCTGTGCCATGATGCCATCATCAGCTTTGCAGAATTATCATTGTCATTACTTTTTTTTTTTTTTTTTTTTTTTTTTTTTTTTTTTTTTTTTTTGCTTTTCAACTCAAAACTGCTTTTTCCTCCCTTGAGCTGCGGGGGGCGGCCGGGGGCGGGCACAGGGCCCAGCCCCCCCGAGGGATGCTGCGCAGGTCCCCCCCTGCACGCCCGCAGCTGGGCACCGCGGTTCTGCCGCGGTCCCTGAGCCTGGATGCGGCCGCAGCTCCCGGGGGCCGTGGCTGCGCCCCGTGGGCCCTGGCTGGAGAGCAAGTGACACGGCGGTGGCCCACGGGTGGCCCAAGCCTTCGAGCGCTCTCCGAGCTGGGCTGGCCACTCCGTCCCACCACCCGCCGCCCCTCGGCCGTCCCCTGCGTGTCCCGGGGAGGAGAACCCCCGCGGTACTCGGGGGGCTGGCGAAGGCCCTTCCATGAGCAAGGTTTCCAAATTCCAGTTAGCTTTTCTCCCAAGGCTTATGCCCGCTACTTGCGCTACCCGTGCGAATGGCGAAGGAAAACAAAAACTCAGCAAAGTCTCTCACAAATGCCAGTGCTTTTAAACATTAAACGACTTAAATTCTTTGGATGTGTGGGTCTCACCCACAAAACAACCTTTCTAGAAAAAGACAAATAAATTAAAGGAAAAAACACACTAATAATGCCTTTCTGCTTTCTAAGTGACAAAAGTACTACCTTGAAACACTCATTTTGGCATGTACAAGTTGGGGGGAAGGGAGGCCCGGGGGGGTAACCTGGCAGTGTTTGTAACACGGGTGGAAGTGCATGCCAAGACAAGGCTGAAGATACACCCTGCAGTCAAGAGAAGCACTCTCCTTCAGTTCATCTCAGCATCAAGAATGAAAAGATTGTAACATAAAGCTTTGGCCGTTTTTGAATCTACTATATACATTTTTTTTTTTAAACTACATAGTCATAAATTAAAGCAGTGATTAAATAAGCGTATACAAAATGTAATTAAATTAAAAATCACAGCACATTATAGAGAAAAAATAGGAACCATTTATCACAGCAGAGAATATTTTTTTTTTTTACCCTGTGAAAAGAACATTGACTAGCAAACGCAAAGCATCCCAGTTGAAACAGAAGAAATCAAAGCCATGTTTCCCTTCTTGCATTCATTGCAAACAGCGATCTATACCCACTTTGAAACATTCCCAGGAATAAGATCTTCCTTGAGTATAACAGAGAAGTTCTGCCAAAAAAAGAAAAAAAAGAGGAAACCCAAACCCAAACCAAACAATATAAAAGGAATATACAAACAACACAACCCCTACAAAATAAATAAGAATTATAAAGCTTTTTTTAAGTAACCTTAACAATTATCAAACTAGTAAGTTCTGCCTTATCACATAGACTCTCTATACAACATAACCCTAAAGATTTATTACTATGAGGTATTTGGAGGAATTGGTAAAAGCGATGCACGGCCTGTCTGGGCTGAGGGACTCAAGCTGCTTTGGGGGAAAGAAGAGGGAACCTTTGGTTTGTCAGCAAGAAAGTGGAAAAAAACATTTTCCTTTGGTATCAAAGAAAGTTTCATTGCATGGTTGCACGGCAAAAAGCACCACGGTGAAGAATTATTCCTTTTTTCATTAGTGGCCCTTCTAACAGGCTGAGGTATTCAAAGAGTATAAGGTGAGAGATAAAGAGGTCAACAGCGGTTTAACACTTTGGTTCAAGCAAGGCACTCGTCCTATGAGTTTACAAAGTTTGCAACATGTTTGCCTAGAGCTTTATTATTATTATTATTATTATCATTATTATTATTATCCTTATCATCGTCAGTAGTAGCAGTTGTAGCAAGAGAAGTATTCGTAAGGTTATTAGCATTACCATTAAGAATGAAGACAAGGTTACACACTGAGTGAAGGTGAGGAAGAGGAATTGGGAGGGACGGGGGTAAGAAGAAGGATGAGTTCCCTTTCCAGACCGAGGCCGTGCATGAAAAATCTTTGGTATTCTTTGGTATCATCAATGTGATTAAAATCACCAATGGAAATCGAGTGAGGTAGCGTCTTTGGTTCACACTATAAATAGTAGATCTTTACACACTTTTTTTTCTTTTTTTTTTTTTTTTTTTTTTTTTTTAACACGTGGAAGTAGCTATTCCTTACCTTTTGCTTCTTTGTCTTTAGCAAATAGTTACCAAATGTATTGTAAAGCTAACCACACCACAATAATAAACCAGGAGGCTAAGCAAAGTCTCAAAATTAGCCCCTGGGCCTTTGAATGCACCCAAACGCAGCGAGATAGAAAAGGGTAAGTGCTTTCTCTTTGTTTGCTAAATGCATAGTTTTCATCCTTATGTACAAAGGAGGAGGAAGAGGAGGAGGATAGGAGGAAGAGTAGTAGAAAGAAGGACCATTTTTCGGGGTAAAAATGTCTTGTTTACAACTCAGGTGAGGAGAGGTGTCCTAAGACTCTTTGGTATAAGCTCAGCGGTGTTTCCGAGCCCCCTGGGCAGCGGCAGCCCCCCCAGGCAGTGCCCGCAGCCACCGCGGCCTTATCCTGAAATCCCTCTCAGGAGAAGAGCAGTGCCCGTGGGCAGCCCTGGGACGGTCCCGTGCCGGGGCACCCCCGGCCGCTCTGGCTGCTGGGGAATTTGCTTCTGGCATCGGTCGGAGCAGGAGCAAATTCTCAAGCGAAAGCCCCGTTGCTGGCTCGCTCGCTCTTGGGTTTGCTTTACCTGAGTAAGGAGAGGAGGCTGAGGCCCCTGGAAAGCAATGCGGGGGCTAGCGAAGTGGTATGGGACGGTCTGAATGATTTTTTGTTGGTTTTTTTTTGTTGTTTTTTTTTGTATTTTTTCCTGGAAAGCTAATAATGCCATTTACAATGGGGATGGATGTGGACAGTTCACCTCTTGGCCAGCCTCCCCTCGTGGGTCACTGCGGTCAGGTTTGGATGCAGCCTATGAGCCGAATGCGCGTTCCTAATGCCCTCTCGCCCGTGGAGTCACCTTTGACTGAAGCCCCATCTCCCGATGCTCCCAAACTGTTTTAGGTTCTGCTCCCTCTCCTAACCCTTCCTGGCAGATTTTTAGGTTCTTTTTTTTTGAATTTGACACTAATTTCCGTTTTGTCAGGCATGAAGTGAACCGAAAGACGAACCCTAACACGACAGCGACAGGCTTTCCTGTGTCCTGTCGAGCGCAGCGTTAGGACGGAGCTCCCCTGCGAGGATGCCCTGCTGAGGAACGGCCAGGGAGCACCGGGTAACCTGTCCACGCTTCAGCCGGTGTGGCCGGGCAGTCTGCTCAGAGGTAAAACAGCTTTACAGGTAGAATGAGCAGGTCCATCATTATTTGCTTCATGTTTTGAAAGGAATTAAAGAAAAGTGTGTTCTTTGCCTATTTGGAGTATGAGGTGCATATTGCTTATGGGAAGAGTGGTTTTGTTCCTAATGGCTTTTATAAAAAAACCAAAAGGCCTATATATACTTAAACAGAGATGTAAAAAAAAAACCAAAACACTTAAAATCTGTAACTTGTGCATCAGTTTTAGTGTGTGTGGATATATGTGTGTGCATGTATACATACATACACCCCATAAAAATGTGTGTGCGTGTATATAGACACAGACCTATTCAGGGGCTTGCATGTGTGTGTATCAGAGATCCTGAAATTGCATATTGGGTGCAAATTTAATGCTGGTATGAAAGTTCTCTTTGGTTTCAGCAAGTAGTCTCTCAAGACAATTCAATGGAAATACTAAAAAATGCGGCAATGTACTTTGAATTTCCCTGCATTTTTAAATTCTCAAGTTTTAAATAAATAAGGCTTTCTTTTCTAAATTATAGGTACGTTAAAAAGCAGTGTTTTGCTGGAAAAAAACTAAAACATTAGTTATCTCTGTCCTTTATTAACCTTACACTAATGAGACTGCATTCATAAGATACTTTATATGTGAGCTTATTAATGTCTCCATGTCAATTTTGTCTCTGTGGGGATGGAGCACTTTAAAAGAAAGCTTGCTAAAATTTAAGGTAACCTAGAGATTCAAAAAACCTCACAGATTAGATTACATTTTCATAGACAATTGCTTTGTCAGTGTTAAAGTGGGTTTAACATACGGAAACGTGGAGAAATATTCAGTGCCAAAAATCTTGGGTTTATTTCACTTTATTTTAATAAAGAGGTATTTCCGCTGTATTCTAAACACTTACTGGAAATTAACTGTATACCCTGAACCTTGACTAGACCCTGTCCTCTTGGGAAATAATTGGTGCTACAAAGTCACGTAACTTTGGTGTCACTACTATTTTGAATGGGCTTCATCCCAAAAAACAGTATCTGCTATTGTTGATAGTGGTTGGATTCTAGTTTACCTTGAATTTTCCTTTACCTCTTTTTTTTTTTCATTTTTTTTTTTAAAAAGGGTGTAAGTAAGATTACCTATTTCTAATCCTTGCATTGGGCATATACCTGCATATTTGGTTATTTTGGAATTTAATATACCTAGCAGAATTATTAGAGTAATTTGAAACACCAGTTAGAAACCTAACAGGCACATGTATGGTTTTTAAAGTCTATTTTCCCCTTACACTAAAATTTAATACGCAGATGTTGCACGCTTTTCTTTTTAATTTTATCAGAGTAGGAATGGGATGGTTTCTCTTCTATGGGTCTGTTAGCAACAGAGCATTTAAAGCTTTTCAGCTACAAACTTTAAACTATTTCATGCATTATCGTGATTAATAGATGAGCAAGAAAGAATGCGCAGGACAGAAGCTCAGCCTGCTACACACAGATACAACACCACAAAACATCAGGCTGTATTGGTATCATGGGAATTTTGCTACTGACTTCAGAGGCACCACGATTCGGCCTTCCAAAAGCACTACTGGAGCTCCTGTTGGAGCTCTTCCCACCAACATTAACTGATGTTGTATCACTGTTGTCAATAGGAAAAGACCACGAGCCTTCAAAGCTATTGCTATTCCTTTGCCTAGTAAAGTCAATAGGTAAAAAAAGCTCACCAATGTCAATGAGTATTGATCAGATGCTGAGCCCTGTGGTTTTACATTTCGCAATTCTTTTCATTTTTGCATACAAAATGCCTCAGGTCCCCTGTTTGCAGGCTAGGTGGCAGAGCTGAGCTGTATTTATATACAGCGCACGGTTTGCAAAGAGCGTTGTTCAACGGCTTCCAGCAATATCAGCCTGGGAGAGCATAGTAAGGGGATGCAGGCACAGTAGCTACCACACGATCTTACACGTGGCTGTAACGGCCCCTTTTTTTCGCTCCCGTTGAAGTCAGCAACAAAAAGGCTTACTGACTTCAATGGAAGCAGCGTCCCACTATCAGTACCTGTGCTCTGACAGGGGCTGTGATCTCCTCGGATGACATTCTTTCTTGCCAATCGTGGAAAGAAACAACAATGTGGTTTTACTAATTGCAAATAACAGTCTTGATTACAAGTTTTATGTGTTATACAGTTAGATTAGTTTATACCTATAACTCTACATAGTATTTTGTGTAAAAATAGCTTTGGAATATTAAAATCATTGCAATAAAATACCTGCAATATAATTATTAAATGTGTTCTTTGGTAGCTAGTCGATTTTTTTTAATGGATGGAATAGTTTTCCTTTTTTAAATCTGAACATTCCTTAACAAACAAAGAGAATGCACTGGTTTAGGTACCATTCAAATTTCTTCGCCTAGTTTGAACTTGTTTCCAGGCATCGCACCGGCTAAGTTCAAACCACGAAACAGCAAAAATCACACTACCGTTCAAATGAATTCAGATGACTCCACGTTTTGTCGGTCGTGCCATGGCACAACCCTCTCTGAAGACCAGCTCTGACTAAGTCCCTAACCACCGGCGTGTACGCAGTACGGACGCACTATACACCTTCATGGCAATTGCTGTGGAAATGAAGAGCCATATCTGAAGAGATGTCCGTTCAATGACAAGAAATCACTATGCTCCAAACAACTAAACAGCCAAGTACGGTGAAGATGATCATGGGTGAAGGTGTAAGACCGGTGGTCTGTTTCTCTCTCTTCATGTTCCATTTAATTTCCTCCACTTCTCTTTCTTCTTCCTCTCTATTTTTTGCAAGTCGTCATCCTACTAAAGTGTGTGTCTTAGAACAAAGTCATAATGCAGGTGAAATAAGTCTTTGGTTTCTTTGGACTTATAAATAACATTTTTTCAAATAGTTCTAAGTATAAACCTGCTATCTTGAGGTCCTGGTCTGTCTTTATTTATTTATTTATTTATTTATTTATTTTTAAAGCTTTTCCACCGAGGTTTAGTTCGTGGTTATTCCTTCATGCTTTGGTACAAGTGCTTGATGAAGAAGATGAGTTGCCTGAATTGGAGCTGCCCTCGTCTTGCCACTTATCCAGACTCCTCCTCCGTGCATTCATGAAAAAGTTGCTGACGGTGCTCAGCTCCAACCCGAGCTGCTGGGAAATGGTGATTTGTAATTCTTTGGACGGACGCTTATTTTCCTTGAATATTGCATGTAGAGTTCGACGCTGGACATCCGTGAAGACCAACCGAGGCTTTTTGGGTGTATTCCCTCTATCCTTCCCGTGCTCTTGTTCTTTCCTCTTGCATGCTGCAAGAAAGGGGAGGATGGTTAGAGAGGGCTGGCAGAGGAGTGCGCAGGCACGCAGTGCAGGACAGACTAGGATAGTTCCTGCTAACTTCCAAATTTGGAGAAGATGTGTGACATTTAATTTTCTAACTTATTGAAAACTATACAAAATATAAGGAATAGAAGTTAGAAAATACATTTTTTTGTCATCAGTTAAAACTCAACAAATGCTATTACTGAGAGCTTGTATTTTGATAACACCCATTAGGGCTTGGAGTTTAACTGTGTAGTATTCCTAGAAGGTAGAGCGGAAATTCAGTGAGGTCTAAAGTCAACATTGCCCACCTTTTTTACCCTCTTTATTTGTTGTCAATCCATTCCTATAGCCTTTTATGGGCTGAGAAATAAGAAACTGGGAGAAACCAGGATTCAACTACAGTCTTACTGGCCAGATGATTATGTATTCTGAACAAAATGAACCATGTTTTGACGTAAAGAACAATGGTATATTAAATCTTGCTTTACAGAGTATCACCTATCTATCATCCCTTCTTTCCCTTTCAGAACATTATTTTGCTCTACATTATTAAAGGACGCTTGCAATTTGAAGTCTGCCTTGCAGATCACCTGCCAGTCAGGATCTGAAGGGATGGGAAGGCGACTCCCGGTTCCCCCCTCCTCTACTCCTGCCAGCCTTTGACTGTCTGCCAGCTCATCTTGTTAGCATTTCCCTAAGATAAAGGTTTGCTTGGGAGGACAGATTGTTCTGTCTCACTTTCAAAGAGTCTGAAGTTGTCTGTTTCCCCTTTTTTCTCTAACAATGTCCTTTAACGCTGATTTAGAGATGTATTTCTGAAGGTAATATGGATGTTCTGTCTATGTGCCTGTCTAGTCCTGATTTCTGTGGAGATCAGTGCTGATTATATGAAGAATTTTGTGCAGTCTCCACCTATTCCACACTTATTGGAATAAACCCAGCAAATTATTTTTCAGAAGGTCCTTTCTACGTCTTTTATTGCTACCGAGAGCCAGCCTTGGCATGAGGGTTTAGTCGCTCGAGGGAGGTATAAAAATAGTCATCCACCTTTTGTACTTGGAGAAATAGCAACTGCACAGATCAGACAGCAAGATGCAGGAGATGCAAAGGCACCTTCTGCTGGCCCGGGCAGGCAGGGACCAAGACACCGGCGTCTCAGCCCCATCTGAGGAGAAGCTTTTGAAGAGCTCCCTAAGAATATATATTCCAGCCATACATTCTTTCCTGAGCAATGACACATCAATCAAATGGACTGGGATGCCAAACTCATACCTTCTACAGTTATTTTTATCTGAAAACCTTTGAAGAGTGCTTTGAAGTTACATCCTGACCTCTAAAACACTGTGAAGCTTCTGGGCTGAAAAACAGGTTTCCTCATGCAAGTGAACACCCACTGAAGACAAGCTGCCAAATTCACCGTGCAGATCAGTGCCTATTGAAATAATTCTGCATCCCCATTGAAAGCCAACACTGAGAACTCAAGGGATAAAAATACTTTTGCATGAATAGTCTGTTATTTACTGACAAATATTAGGAATGAGGAGCAAAGAAGATATCAACAGCATCTCAGTCTTTTATACATGTCTAGTCATTTGACAATCTGAAGTT